ATCATGCCAGTCTAGACATAGCTGTTGTGTTTTGACAAGTGTTACTCTGAATATTGAGAGTCCATGTAATCGAAATGCCTCATGTTCCAGTCACTTATGTTAGTGAAGTCAATGAGGTTTAAACTGGTATAAGAGGAGAATCCGTTGAAGATCTTAATATAATGAGGTCTCAAATTCCTGCTAAAATGATGAGAGATCATAATTTTGTTCATGACTCAGCAAAGTCCTGTAATGCATTGCATTACAAAATATTCATTATACGTAGTGCTGAAATGATCTACATAATGTAGTTATCACTCATGAAGGATTATTTTAAAATAAAGGGAACTTGAAGGTGTCATCACAGCACCCTACCTACCACCACTTACTTGAACACCTAACATCCTGCCTGGAGAAGAAAAATCCCAGGTAAGTCAGGCCAGGAAGGTAAGAAGATAAAGACTAGCATTTACCTTCCACCATACATGAGGTTCCGTGACTAAGATCAATGCTGGAGGTAGGGAGATCTTCAGGAGGCTGCTCGGTGCCAAATATTCCCCCCCCCCCCTTTAAAAAAAAAACCCATACACAAAAAACACACCACGCAATTCAAAAGTAAAACCTGTAGTGTACCCCTATTATACAGGAGAGGAAGAGGTGAAACAGGAGCTGTGAGCCTGCCTTACAACTTTCATTGTTCAGAGCTTATATTTGCAGGGAAGTTGTATTCACTACAGGAGAGTTGTTGGATGTATTATACAGTGTACAGCAGTAAGTTTTGCTGCTGATTGTTACTGGGGTTTTTCTGTGTGTAAAGCAAAGCCAATATGGATATTGTCTTTTGTAGACTTTAAGAAAAAACTAATAGTATAAACTGTTACCCTCTAACAAGCCCACAATAGCCCTCTTGTTGACTGAATTCAGTTCGTTTGAAGGGAAAGTCTTGTCCCTATAGTCAAGGGCAGCCTACGAGAAAGAACACTAGGAGGCACGTGGGGAGTTCACTAACCGTACCCTGCAAGACAAAAGCAGTTCTGTGCTTCTGAACTGGTTCCTTGCTGAGGAAAGGGAGATGATATCTCCCACAAAACAAAGACCTCACACTCAATATGGAAACACTTCCCTTCCCCCCCCCGCCCGGAAGCAGAAAGTGATGTCTCTGAAAAGCACCACAATATGTTGCAAGATTGAATCACACTTGTTATAGCAGTCCAGCAGTGTGCAATACATATCAAACCCCACCCATCCCAAACTGTATCTGTGAAAGTAAGTCACTGTGTGCAATTATCTTCTGCTTTGTTCAGGCCACTCACCATTGCACCACAAGAAACATCTCATGTGTATCAGAATCTTTTAATACTTTACATTAAAAAACTGCACACACAGCTTAAATACCTTTATGTAAACATCATACAAGTCTCTGCCTTTGCCATGTCAGTTCATTAAAAATGAAAACAAAAAACCCTAAGCCATCTTAGTACCACTGCCAAAAAGGGAAACCAAAATACCTCAAAAAAAGAGGACAAAAAAACCCCACAACAGATGGACGGGTTTGTTCTCTGAACCAGAGAAGTGTAAGTTTAATGGCTGCCCTGCAAAAAAATATATTTTTAATAAGTCCAAATACTTTCAACTGCTTAAGGAGTTGAGGGAAGAGGAGGGGAGAAAGAGGAGCCAGTGTTTCCACTCACTTTTCAAGAGAAAGAAATACAGTGGTTTTATTTCTTCTTAAATGCATTTGAAAAAAATCCCAAACAGATGAGGTTACGGTGTCAAAAGTGTTCATGATGCAACAGTATTGTATGCATTTAACAAGTGTTTAAATTTAAAGTTAACATCTAGCTGTGCAAAGTTCTCACTGGAAAATATTTTAATTAACCAAAGCAACACAATTGCAGAAGACCATTTTTAAACTTTTTAAAAGGAGCAGGCATGGAGATAATACATGGCAACATCTCCCCACTCATTTCCCCATCCTGCTGTGACTGCCATCAGGAGATCTAAGGAGCGGACAAGACAGCAGATCAATCTTTTTAGTCAGCAGAGTGACTTCTCCAACTGGACTCAGTTCAGCAGCCTTTAGTCATTCTTGACTGTGTTGAGGGGAGAAAGAGGGGTGTGTGACTGAAATCCAAGCTGGGCTCAGCAGATTTTTGGCACCTGCTTCCCAGTTTACTTTAAATAATAAACAAAAATACTATTTAGGTATATACACACACTGGATAACCCTCCCCTCCCTGATGCCCCTTTAGAGCCAAGTCCTCAAAGAACTATGTTACACAGCAAGTTATGTCGAAGGTCAGCTCAGTCCAGGAAAGCTGCCCCCTGGGAGGGGTCTGCTGCTGGTGGTCTGCAGTAAGTCTGAGAAATGCAGTCCCACCCCAAAGCACGCAAGGCCTGGGGTAGGAAAAGCACACACATAACCAGGGCAAGTCTCTTCCAACTGCACCGATTCCCTTCTCACAAAGGAGACTGTCAGGCAGCTATTTTTCGTGGTGTAGTAGGTGCTGGGTTAATCCCCAGATGGAGAGGAGAGAGGAGCTGGGTCCATTCATCCTCTTCTCTCCCCCTGCTGCCGAAATCTCAGCAGCAAGCCGCTTGAGAGCTGCCTGTCAAGTCCACGAGCGATTGATTGTTTGCAGGGCATAGGAGCAGGCTGGGGGTCTCGGGACGACGGGCGCCTCCCCCCCAGCTCGGGGCATGCAGACTCCCTGCAGCTCCACATCTCTCCCCGCTTCGCCTCCAGCCCGCAGCTCCGAGCAGGGGCACACCCCTTCCCCCCCCACTTTGTCCAGGGACCCCACCCCCTCCAG